TATATATATGGATCACTGTCCATATATAATAATTCCATATATACTGTTATAATAATAATTCTACATTTTTGTTTCCAAATGGTTATTTGTGTCATATATAAACGACAGTGGGCCCATCATGAAATAAATATTTAGATCAATACATATTTAGTCAAGGCTCAACTGTACTGAAATCATTGATTATTGATGTAATTATAGATGTTTTGCTCTTCTGTAGAAATGAAACAAAGAGCTCAGTATTGTTGTCCACATTTTCTTTTTAAATGACTGGTCATATTTTTGAATTGTGGACAAACCCAATAAATGAAATGATTTGAAACTCGATTTGAATCTGCGGAATCAGTGGAATCATAACAACAGTGTAACGGTCAGCGTGACTGTTCTCCTGTAACTATGGTGACGTGACTGTCCGTCATGTTGCCGTGGTTACCTGACTGCACACTCCCCAGTCGTCTCTGCAGGGCCTCCAGACGGGAGATGTAGTCGGTGAGCGCGCGGTCGGGGTCGTAGTTCTGCAGGTGTGAACACGGTAAACCTCCGGCATCACCGGCCATCGTGTGAAACCTACAGACAAACATCAGCACGCGCTTTAAAACACAGCCGCCTGTCCAGATCTGTGTGCCATCTTACAGCGATCCGGTTACTGATGAACATGATGCAGGACAACTGACAGTGACTCATTCATAAAGAGAATCACTAGTTTCATTTCTGAATGAATCAGCTGTTTGAATCACTAGGGTGAGTCAATGATTCAGTGATTCATTCATAAAGACTAGTTTTATTTCTGAATGAATCAGCTGTTTGAATGAATAGGGTGAGTCAATGATTCAGTGACTCATTCATAAAGACAGTCACTTGCTTCACTTCTGAATGAATTCGCTGTTTGAATGAATTGAGTGAGTCAATGATTCAGTGACTTAGTCATAAAGAGGGTCACTAGTTTTATTTCTGAATGAATCAGCTGTTTGAATGAATAGGGTGAGTCAATGATTCAGTGACTCATTCATAAAGACAGTCACTTGCTTCCCTTCTGAATGAATTCGCTGTTTGAATGAATTGAGTGAGTCAATGATTCAGTGACTTAGTCATAAAGAGGGTCACTAGTTTTATTTCTGAATGAATCAGCTGTTTGAATGAATAGGGTGAGTCAATGATTCAGTGACTCATTCATAAAGACAGTCACTTGCTTCCCTTCTGAATGAATTCGCTGTTTGAATGAATTGAGTGAGTCAATGATTCAGTGACTTAGTCATAAAGAGGGTCACTAGTTTTATTTCTGAATGAATCAGCTGTTTGAACGAATCGGGTGAGTCAATGATTCAGTGACTCATTCATAAAGAGGGTCACTTGCTTTGTTTCTGAATGAATCAGCCGACTGGACAAATTGAGTGAGTCAATGATTCAGTGACTTAGTCATAAAGAGGGTCACGAGTTTTATTTCTGAATGAATCAGCCGACTGGACAAATTGAGTGAGTCAATGATTCAGTGACTTAGTCATAAAGAGGGTCACGAGTTTTATTTCTGAATGAATCAGCCGACTGGACAAATTGAGTGAGTCAATGATTCAGTGACTTAGTCATAAAGAGGGTCACGAGTTTTATTTCTGAATGAATCAGCCGACTGGACAAATTGAGTGAGTCAATGATTCAGTGATTAAGTCATAAAGAGGGTCACTAGTTTTATTTCTGAATGAATCAACTGTTTGAATGAATTGAGTGAGTCAATGATTCAGTGACTCAGTCATAAAGACAATCACTTTATTAGTTTCTAAATGAATTCGCAGTTTGAACAAATCAGGTGAGTCACTGATTCAGTGACTCAGTCATAAAGACGGTCACTTGCTTTGTTTCTAAATGAATCAGCCGACTGAACAAAATGAGTGAATCAATGATTCAATGACTCATTCATAAAGACAGTCACTTGATTTGTTTCTGAATGAATCAGCCGTTTGAACAAATCGAGTGAGTCAAGTGACTCAGTCATAAAGACGGTCGCTTTGTTTCTGAATGAATCAGGTGTTTGAACGAATCAGTTGAATGAATGATTCAATGACTCACTCATTAAAACAGTGACTTGCTGCCACCTACTGGCGCTTTTAGTTTCATATTTAGAGTATGTTTCTTTTTTTTTTTTTTAGAAACATTTCATATTTAAATTTCAATATCCATTAAGAAAACTTCAATGCAATGTTGAATCAAAATATTTTTTTCTAAAGCTACTTCCTGTAATGTGTATTCAATGCTTTTCTCGTTTAACACAATCGTTTCAGAGGCTAATTTTTCAGCCAAAATTGATGTTCAATTATTCACATATTCATTGATTATAAATGCTTTTATTTTTCGAATGAGAATGAGTGTTTTGGCATTCCAGTAATGATGCTGATCACTGATGAGCTGGTGTGTTTGTACCTGTGCTGGAGCGATGCGGCGGAGCGAGGAGAGTCTCGTCCCGTGCGTCCGCGGCTGCTCGCTCGTCTCTCTCTGAACACCTCCACACCGCCGGGCTGAAGATACGACGACTCGTTCCTCACATCAGCACCTTCAGTCAATGTTTAACGCAACAAATTAATACTTCTATTCAGCAAGGACGCATTAAAGTGATCAGAAGTGACAGCAAAGACATTCATAATGTTACAAAAGACTTCTATTTCAAATAAATGCTGTTCTTTTGAACTTTCTATTCATCTGTGAATCCTGAAAAATAAAATGTATCACCGTTTCAACAACAATATGTATGTGTTGTTCTGTATTGGTAATATGAGATTGTCACCTGTGATCTGAGTGATGCCGTTTCTGCTGACCGTCGCGGTTCCTCCAGCTGCTCGCTGCCATCGTTTCACTAGAAACCTCATCCTGCAGGAGACAGCATTACTGCTCAAACCACACATCATGTTTGAGCCCGAAACAGTGACTCTGTGACAATGACGAATTTAAAGATTAAACCTGAAACATCTCACTAATGCCTCACTCACATTAATACAGGGGCATTCTCAAACTGGGGTTTGTGAGGTGAGGAAAAGCTAATAATTAATTAAATTAAATCATAAAAATGTACAATTAAAATAAATAATTTTGAAATAAATAATTCAATCAAAATAAAACACTAAAACATCTAATCAGAAAAATATAAAACTAACACATGCACACTTGCTCATGTTTCTGATCAGATAGTCTCATAACCTCATAATTTTTCAGGAGTCTTTGATAAATATAAAGTTCAAAAGAACTGCATTTATTTGTCACTTTTGATCAATTTAATGCATTGCTGTTGCAAAAAATTCTTTAAAAAAAAAACCTTTAAAAAAAAACCCAAAAAAAAAAAAAAAAAAAAAAAAAAAAAAACTTACTAAAAATGAATTAAATCACCAAAATGTAAAGTTAAAATAATTTAAAAATGGAAAATTATATAATAAAAATATTTTTACAACACTTACTAAAAATATATTAAACCACAAAAATGTAAAATTTAAATAAATATATATTAAAAAAAATAATAATTAAACAAACCCATTAACCCACTTACTAAAAAGTTAATTAAATCACAACATATTACAAATAAAATGTAAATTATAAAACGGATAGTTCCGGTCCTTGATTCTGATTGGTTGAGCCACGTTCG